GAAATACACCTCTGGTCTCTATTCCTCAAGACCCCTATCTGTCAAGGGGACACATCCCTGTTCTGGGACTGGGAAATGCAGCTGAAGCTGACCCAGGCAGGAGCTTCTTACGGACAGAAACTTTGTCGACTAGTTCAGGAAGCATTAAAAATGAAGTTAAAGGATTTATTTAAAAACTAATGGTAAAAATGCACTTTAAAAGTGAAGGGTAAAAATATAAATATGGTAATAAATTATCCCCATACAACCTATGTTTTTAAGTAATTTATTTCAATAGAAATATTTCAGAAAACTGTACTTAAATTCATTTTTAAGTTAGCGTATGTAAACACACCGAAGATCTCACACTCACATTTGCATATTAAACAGAAACAAAAAGTGACAGAGGAACAGAGCCGCACTCACTCAAGGAGGTCATAGTGCAATCGGTGCTTCCTCATGGTACCTCAAGTTCACTGGGATGAAGGGTAGAAATGGCTTCTGTTTTCCTGCATATGATCATCACTGGATACTTATCCCCACAGATGCTTATCTCCTTTAGATTACACTGTGAATGAGTTCCTTGCCCCCTCCCCACATATCCACACTTCAGGAGGCTATAAAACAATGAATTTGTCAGTAATCAAAGTGTAGAAACTTTTGAGAGCTTGGTGACTTATCAGCTATGCTGTCAGACCTAGTAAGTCACTGGACTATTTTTTTGTGAGTAGTTATAATAGGCGATATCTTCAGGGGAAACTTCATATTTCTTATCTGGTATCTAAAGCATGGCTAATATGTATGAAATTTCCGGTCTATTAAAAACACCACTTCAATCCCAAAGCACTCTAATTACGTATTCCTTTAATCTCATCACTACTTTGCAGTCCAAGTGACCAGAATCAAAATTTAAATTCTGCTAATTACTAACCCTCAGGGACCAGTTAGTTAACCCAACATGTGGCTTTAAAGGCCATGCCTACTTGCCTACTGTGGAACAGACGAGCCTTTTCGTATTTTTGAAAATAGCATCTTGACTCCGTTGAACAGCAGCAGCTCCAGATCTTGCCATAATCACAGAGAAGCAAAGTGTTTCCAAGCTTTGCTTTTACTGGGAAAGTCTCTTAACTTCCCTTTAATTTATATATTGGAGCTGTTTTCACTTTCCCACTATAGTGTTTTCAAGCGAACAACAACTGGTAGGTTAAGTGACTGCTTGTTTGTTCTGAGTCTTGTTTAAACATAAGAATGAACCAAACTAAATTTCACTTCTGGCCAAAGGGGTTCTCATCACAAGACTTCAACAGCTTTCATAAAACCCAAACAAATCTTTCTGGCTGTATCATGTTCTTTTAGAGATTTTCTGAAAGGCCTTATATTTAAGTGTATGTTCAAAACAAAAACAAAAACAAAAACTCAGCACAAAATAAATTCTGCGTGATGGGTGCTCTTCCACGTTGTTCTTATGAGTGCTCATCCAAAGAGTGATTTGGGTGGATTCATTTTTAATCTCCTACCCAGAAGAAGAGAAGGAGGGAGGGCCCTTGTCTAAAAGGCTCAAAACCAAGGAGAACTGCAACAATTACAGAGCGGTATCTGTGCAGACTTCCTTAGATGGGCTGTGAGATAGGTAGCTGGTGGAGAGAGGGGTAGATGGCACACACTCCTGAAATAAGGGAGTAAGGGGGAAAATGATTATTGTCATACTTGATGCCCTACAATTGGTCTTCAAATCGATAAGGCACTGACCAAACTTCCCCCACACCGCAATGAGATACCAGTGTAATGAAACTGCTTTCAGTAAGCTTTTAAGGGTTTGTGTGCACAGATCTCTTTCATTAGAAATCTCTAAATAGAAAAAAAAGTCACTTTAGACACAAGCCATTTTTCGGGGAGCAAAAGCAAAAAGTACTTAAATTATTTTGAAAAGGCTGACTCCACATGAAAAATATTTATCACCAATGTGATTAAATAGCAATGTTTGTATCGGAAAACTTAGGGAAAAAACCACAATACCACTCTGGTTGTAAAATCTTTGAAAGGAAAAATACAAAAGGAGAGAGAAAATACAAGCAAACCCTGAAGATCCTGGGAGAAGTCAGGCAAAGCTCAGCGTCTGTTCCTGCATCAGCAGCGTGACTACCGCTCCCCCAGGGCTTGGTTCGATTCATCTTCGTTTCCAAAATGGGATCCAATTACTGCGAGTGCCTCGGAAGCAGGGCTGTTATGAAAGACCACTTTCTGCCGAGCCACACGGGTGTCCCCTGCTCGCAGGAGACACCATGGCAGTTTAAACGCTGGGTGTAAAGGAGCTCGCCCCCAAGCCAGGAAGCAAGTCTACGGCGGCCATAGTCTTTACAAAGGCAAACGGGTCAAATCTACTGTTACCATTGATTTCCAATTAATACGATGCCCTAGAGCTTTGTTTTCAGTAGTAAAGGCATACAGCTTACAGACTTAACCTAAAAAGGAAGGTACAGAAAGAACTTCTGCTCAAGCCACGCGGCCAGGTAAACTTGAGGCATCCCAAGAGATCTACAGACCAGCCTGCTCTTAAGGGCCCCGGTTTCAACTAATCTACAGAGTGTGTACGCTAAACGCTGTAAACATTTTTCCTTCTGGAACAATAGCACTCCTTGGTCTCCTTTATAAATCTTCTAGAAGAGGACGAAAGCCACTTGTAAAAACCTCGCAGCTATAAACACCCTAACCCTTGACACAGAAAGAACAAATACATGGAAGCCGTGCAACAGTCTACGGCATTTGTCACTGAAAGGAGAAAGCGAGAAAAAATACTCAAACTCAAACGGTTTGGATCCCTTTTTGTAATGTTTACACGAACAGCATTTACATAGTGAAGAAAACAAAATAGGAAGGTGTGTTTGATCAGGTCTCTTTCAATGCTTACATTTTGGAGTTACAGTAAAAAAATAACAACTCTGAAAAAATAAGCAGAGCCCAAACACAGAGGGGGCATGAAACCAAAAATAGTGCTCTAGGTCATTAGGCAATTATTTTTGTAGTTATATTTTAAAAACTGTTATGTTACTTCCATATGAAAAATAAGCTTCCGTGTTCAAATAAACTGTTAAATGAGAAGTGTCTCAACTGTGTTTTGGCTATTATTATATTCTTCTTCACCGGGCCATAAAATACGCCAACTATTATGCTAATCATAAGCTACCTTAAATTTAAATGATCATTTCTATGAGTTCTTCTTGGCTAGGAGAGAAACAAATGAACTTAATATTGATGGAAATTTCAAGCTTCTCAGTCACCAATTTACTAATTTATAAAGGGTAGGCCTAATAAAAGGAAAATAAATCCATGATCCCACTAATAAACTACCTAAATATCCAGCATATTTTGGTGACATATTTTCTTTGCTTGAATTGTCAGATATCATTTGGTGAATTACAGATAAAAAATTCACCTATACTAGTTTAATCCACTTCTCTCACTGGTTTCCTTTTGCTTCAAATACTAAAATAATCTTAAAAAGCAATGACTAATCTTTTGAATGGACAAACTTGAAGACAGAAAAACAATGGCGACTTCTATGCACAGTTATGTTAAAGAGTTTCAGATGTAAGGGCTATTTATCAAATCTGAACACTATTCTTAGTCTGTGCGGGCATCCATTCACATTTAGAGGTGAAAATATCAAACACATCTTCCAGTTTAGCTCCCTCTTTGGCAAAACTGACTGACATCAGGCTCTGACTTCTAGGTGCCTATCTTCACAGACGTGGTTACCCTACGACATGTCTACTTTAGCTTATTTATGACAAAGTAAGAATAAAAAAATCCACAGGGTTCTCATCCACAATATTTTTTAAAAAGCACATACACTGTTAAAAACACTTATTTCTGAAGTGAAATAAACAAATTAAGAAATTAAAAAAAAAGCAAAACAAAAGTTAAGATGTGCAAGGTCCACACAGTAATACTGCTTGCTCTGCAGATGGTCTCTCCATGAACCCAACGTGGGTTCAGCTCGGAGGGTCATTAACTGAAAAATCATTCCGCACAGGCAACACTTTGCCCTCCTGCCTATGTCACCTCCCACGAAACCAGAAATAATGGTATTCTAACTGTGTTACATGAGAAAAACATCTGAACTCCTACTATTCTTCCGAAACAGAAATCTAAACTGAAAAACTCAGCGCTTAGAAAATGCTCTTCCACTTCTCTTTGGACAGTATTCTGTGGGCAATATTTTGTATTTAAGTTTCATGGATTCAAGAGTGAAATTCCTATGATTAAAAAAAAGTACATTTTCTAAGAACACAAATGTGAGAAATTTTATGTGAGGCCCAAAGTAACAGAAGCCTAGTAGAAGGTATCAGTCAGGAGGCGTTTCTTACTCTGGGCTTCTGCTAAAACCTATGATACCTCTTGAGTTTATAACACCCAACATGTAGCCTTTGTTCAAATGCCATTTTTTGTTAAAATTCTAAGGCATCTTATCTTTAATCTCTCTCTCTTTTTTTTTTGTAAATCAACATTTATTTTGAATATTAAATGCATTACTGCATAGAAGAGCCCTCACAAAACTGCTTGGTCAACTACCGACAAAATATGGTTTCATGGCAGGAATATATATATCTATATATATAGATATATATATAAACACACACACACACACACACACGCGTGTGTGTGTGTGTGTGTGTGTGTGTGTGTGTGTGTGTGTAGTTTTCAGGAAAACATTTTGCAATAAAGGAAAGTTGTATAAGGAGAGGCTTGATATTTGAAATTCCCAGAATCTCAGTCTTTCACCTTTTTCCTTTTGAAATTATTTTGTATGCCTTATAATGAAATACATACATACATATGTGGAATCTCTTTTAAACAAATGTGATCCTAAATCTTATATTGAAAAAAAAAAATGAGAATAATTAAAAAAAACTGGCATTGTGCACAGTAAACAATGTAAAAGAAAAAAACCTATCTCCTTGATGATAAAAATCATTCATGACTGATAGAAGAGATAATCCAATTAAATTGGGAAAAAAGAAAAAAAAAAAAAGTAATGACTTGTAAGTAAAATCCCAGGGAAGTTTAGGTAGGGATTACAATCCCTACTAAGCAGATCTGTGGCCCAACAATGAATTAATACAGAAGCCTAACCTAAACCCAGTTAAAAACAACCACGTTTTCTAGAGCCCATGTGAAAGAGTGTCTGGCACGTGAACACTCGGCCTTTATACCTCCTGCAGGAAGTCGTGTTCCCCGTACAGTACTAAATCTCAGAAGTTTAGTGTTTAAAAATATCTTCCCTCATCCAAAGCCAAACAAAAACTCTCCCAAAGTCCCAAACAAAGTCTCAACAACTCACATTACAACATTTCTAATTCCTCCACTTGTGCTGCAAACTCTCAGGGAGGCTGCCGGTAGAATGCTGCTCATTAGAATATCTTTACACCTTGGTTCAAAACCAGCTCCTGAGGTAACCCATTAGAAACATGTTTTTCCTTCTGAAAGTGTATCTAAAAAAGGCGATTCCCCCTTCAAAATTAGTACGAAGGTAAAAGAAATGCAAATGAGCTACGATCTATTCCAAGACAGCACCGCCAGAGATTCACACACACTATTTGGTGTTTCGTGTTGGATTTCCTTTCGTTCTTTTAAGGCAGTGGTTTCCACAGGTCAGTTCAGAGATAAGAAGCGTGGTCCATGGCAGTTTGTTTCGCAACTGCAGTTGGTTCTCTGGGAATGTCTCACTTCATTCCTGGGAATTAGTGCTTTTCGGTTCAGAACTCCAGAGGCTGAGGTGGAAGCCCTGGGCTCTCCCTGGCACAGGATTGGTTTTTAGCTGGCGCTCGTCCATCAGGTCCTCGCTCTCACTTTGGAGCAACAGTTCACCTCTCTTCTTTCTTAGGCATTTACTCAAAAGTCATCAAGTTTGTAGGAACCTAAAAATATAAACATTAAAAAATGATAGCATTTATTTATTCTTATTAAAAAAATTTTCCACTATATTAGTTTCAGGTGTACAATCCTGTGATTAAACATTTATGTGACTTATGAAGTGATTCCCCCATAAGTCTAGGACCCTCCTGGCACTGTACATAGTTATTAGAATATTACTGACCATATCCCCTATGCTGTACTTCACATCCCCATGACGTAACTACCAATCTGTACTTCTAATCCCTTCACCTTTTCAACCAGCTCCCTAATCCCCCTCCCCTCTGGCAAGCATCAGTCTGTTTTCTGTATCTGAGTCTGTTTCTGTTTTGTTTATTTTGTTTTTTAGATTCCACATGTAAGTGAAATCATATGGTATTTGTCTTTCTTTGCCTGACTTACTTCACTTAGCACAATACCCTGTCGGTCCATTTACAAACTGATAGCATTAGAAGTTGTTTTTCAAAATATTATTTATCTTTCCTTGTCGTTTTAAGTGAGCCCAAATGTTAAAATCTTTCTCACCTAAAATATCTTTAAAAAAATTAAATATATTGGGGGACATTGGTTAATAAACCTATATAGGTTTTAAGTGTACAATTCTATAATACATCATCTGCATATTGCATTGTGTGTTTACAACCCAAAGTGAAATCTTTTTCTGTCCCCATATATTTGAGCCCCTTAAAATCTTTAAGATTTTTTATTGATTTTTATGATATGTGAGAGTGAAACATCAATTTCATGTTTATTTTGTCCAACCAATTTGTGGTTCAACTTTAAATCGGCAACAGGGCTTGGGGAAAACAACATTATGGATTTATTCTCCTTTGCAGCTGAAAGCCTTTGTTTCAGTAAAATAAAAACAAAAAAATCCAAGTGGTTTTGGGTTTCACTGCAACCACAGAAACCCACAGCAAGTTGTCAACAGAAAAAATAAAGATGAATCAGAATAAACTTTATTAACTTGAAGTGCCTCATATTTTTTACCCCTCTAGAACTACATTCCCTGCCTCACACTATACTCTACCAGCATGGGCTACATTTTCTTATTTTAAACACTTTAAGCTCATTGCAGCACTCTCTGTTCCCTCTGCTAGAACTCTGTTCCCCCTAATTTTCACCCGCCGGCTCCTTCTTATCATTCATATCAATGTCATCTCTTTAGGGAGATCTTTGCTACTCACTCCTACTTATTTAAAGTTGTCTCTACTCCCATCACTCTGTATGACATAATTCTATTTTGTTTTCTTGTACAGTTTTCACTATTTGAAATTTTGTTATTTGTTCGTTTGTTTATTGCCCATCTCACTAAAATGCGGATTTCACGTCTTGTTGACTATTGTCAGCAGCAACAACAACAAAAGAATGAAAACAAAGATTTGTTCCCACTTCATTCAGAAAAGTAGTCTACTTACTTCTCTTTGGAACTCTTAAATACACACCCAGGTTATGGGCTATTTGAGGGTTAAGAGAAACGCTCACCTGTTGTTTGTTACTTTGGCAGGCAGCACTCAAATGCTTAAACCACAGCATTGCATTCATCCTACTGCCAGCTTGAAACTTGTATGAATTTCCTAAAATTATCAAAAACAAGGGGAAAATAATAAAAACTTAAGGAATCTAACATATAATAATTCTGCCAACTACCAAAGCAAAAGAAAACAAGACTAGAGTTCTCAGTTGGAGAATCCTATTTCTCCAACTCCCGATTTTCCAATATAGAGTTCTCTCTGCTGCATTTGTGTGACCTCACTTATGCAGAAAGTCACTGTTTTGCTGTTTGTGAGTTGGAAGAGAAGTCATTTTGTCTCTTTAAGTGTTCTTTAGAGTAAACTATATCTAAATAAAATTGTTTGGCTTCTCTAGATTTGTACGTGTGGATGAGGGTACAGAATATCGGTTCTCAATATTGCTTAGATGACCTATTAGCAGATGTTGACATGAAGTGTTTACAGGCCAAAGTGCTTTAACACTAAACGTTTAATACTTAGACATTAGCTATTTAGTGTGAACAAGGATTAATGAGCAAACACTAATATCAGCTATGACTTTAGTTTTTAGTTATATCTGTCAAAATTGTTAAAGATATCAGGTATCTTATTGACGGCTTTCAGGGAAAATATGAGGTGGCACCTTTTACTCTCAGAAAACTAGAAATTCATCTGTGTTGTGTATATTTAGTAAACTTTATGTTGACATAAGGATTTTTATATGGTTATATGTATTAAGATAATAAACTGAGAAAAGAAAGCATTCATGTACTATAGACTGCCTTAAGTAGAGCTTTATTTTCTTTTTTTCATTGACCCAAGTTCTTTTTATTACCCAATTCTTACCACTTGCTACTTTCCTTTACAACTGTATTCAATGGCCCAGGAGCCCAATCTATATTTAGGCATCACACAGCTTTTCTTTGAGATTTTAACACTTAGAGAACCTTTTCCCTTTCAGAAGCAATGGTTTGTCCTGAACGAATATTTAATTATTTAAATTAAAATACTGTTTTGCTTGCTGAACTCAGATGCAAACATCAGATCAAAGTAAACAGAAGGCAATTCTACAATGAAGTTGACCACAATTATTTTTTCTGCACCCACCATACTTGGCTTAAATTTTTACTTACACCACCATAATACCCTAAGAGCAGACTCTATGTTGATATGAAATACATTCTGAATAAACAGAGGTCAAAATATAACTGTACAGCCCCTAAAAGGGAATGACTCATTTTGGCTGTGAGCTGCTGGTGTGGAAGTTTCTGGGCAGATGAGAACGGCATTTCCTTGCTGGCTTCCTGTGGTGCTTATCAACAGCCAGCAGTTGTCTGAGAAGAGCAGCAGTCCCCTTAGAACCTGTTCTGACTGTGGCCTGAGGCCTCCCTATATGCACGACAGGGCCAGGAGGTATATGATTCTACAGCCACCTTCCAACTTGTTACATCCGCTTTAAAATCTTCCGTGGTCAACAGCCAACAATTTTGTTCCTAAACGTCTCTACTATATATTATAAGCAAAGTATTATAATTAAAATCATATTTCTTTGGAAAGTGCTTTGAGTCAAATAAGCAATTAATTTGATTAAAAGTAATGGAATAAAAATCATTTAAAGGAAAACCTCTGCCACATTTAGAACTTAAGAATAACAGTTTAATTCAGGGTATAAATGAAGGGTATAAATTAAGTGTATATGGCAAACCACTGAGAATTTAAAGCAACAATGGGCCATAGATTCTCAAGTTTCCTTCTTCCCTTCGCCCTCCCTGGTTATTAGCCCTCTAGGGAGTATTTGAACTAGTTTCAAGCTATGGCCCTGCAGCAAAGAAAATAAGCAATTAATAAGTATTAATTGATAACTACAAATATTGGTATCATTTCTATACATTATGTGACAGAAATATTTCCTGAGAGATAAAATCACACAAACCTTCCCTCAGTCAAGTATGAACCCAGTTAAACTAGGCTTTGACTTACTGAAAGTTACTTATACATAGGACCTTATCCCCTGGTTACTCTACTCACCTTTCTCAGAATCAGTCAGCAGGAAGAGGTCAGGATGTTCCGGGTCATCAGCCATCATCACCATCCATCCTACCACAGACACATTCTTATTTGATGTTGACTTGAACTGAGAGAAAGATGACTAATGGTTATCTTGATGGCTCACCCTCAGCAAAGTTTAAGTCTCAGGGACAATCTTCAGTTTCTCCCAGTGAGAGATGAGATCTGTGACTTTGTACGGGTCAGGCATGGTCACCAGCGCCTTTTACTACTCCATTTCCCCTCAGCCTGACCTCTGGCGACACTCTCCCACTTTCCAGGTCTTTCCCAGCTTCAGCTCTTCATCAACACCTAACTGTTCCACTGTCCATTCCCAAAGAGTATGCTCTGCTACTGGACTGGTAAGTTGATCTATGCTGTTTGGTCTGTTACTTTGCTATCCCTCACCCTTTCTTACAGGAAACACAGCTGCATTTTAAGAGAGATGTTATCTGTTCCCCACAACCTATTGAGATATAACCGACTTATAACATTGTGTAAGTTTAAGGTGTGCAATGTAATAGGGGTGTTCTCTTAAAGCTGATGATTATCATAAACCGTAGTGCTATCAGACACTTTTTTTTTGGTTAATCCTCACCTGAGGATATTTTTTCCATGGATTTTTCAGAGTGGAAGGGAGGGAGGGAGGGGAGATAGACAGAGACACCCCCCCATTGGTTGCCTCCTGTGCGCACCATTACTAGGGCCAGGGATTGAACCTACAACTCAGGTACATGTCTGGGAATTTGAATCTATGACCTTTCGGTTCTAGGGTGGATGTTCTAACCATTGAGCCACATTGGCCAGGGCAGACATGTCTTAATTCTTAGGATGTATGTATTCTTAGCATGCTTGTTAACTTTTCTAGTTTTTTAAAGTTATACTTTATTAACAAAATAGAGCTATTATAAAAGAACAAAAAATTAGGTTAATCTCATTCACGAACAAAATAAAAAAAATTAAGTTAAATATTGGCAACCTGAATCTAGCAGTGTATAAAAAAGCTGATACATGATGACCAAACTGGATTTATCCCAGAAATGTGAGGTTGGTTTAATGTCAGAAGTCAATTAAAGCAGCTAAGTTGGGTTTATTTGAAGAAAGTGAGGTTAGTTCAACTTTAGAAAAATTATTAAAGTAAACCACCATAGCCCTAGCTTGTGTGGCACAGTGGTTAGAGCATCGGCCTGCACACAGAAGGGTTGTGGGTTTGATTCCCGGACAAGGACACATACCTGGGTTGCAGGTTCGATCCCAGGCCCTGGCTGAGGCTAGTGTGGTATGCCACCAATCGATATGTCTCTCACATCCATCCATCTCTCTCTCTCTCTCTCTCCCTCTCCTTTCCTCTCTCTGAAATCAAT